TTTAACTTTTGACACAGCGGTGTTTACAGAAATAAAAATGTATTGCATTATATATAATGTTGTGTGTTGATTGCTTCCCATTTTAACAATGAATTTAACTAAGGGAAACAAATTTACCAAATCTTTTAAAGCACGTCGAAAAAACAAACAGAAATTCAAAAGTAACAAACTAAAAGTGAAACTAATTGTTTTTTAAGACATTAAATACTAATATAATTTTTTTTACACAAATCTTTGTCTAATTTTAAGTTTTTTGGAATTTAAGAATTATTATTACACTACAGCTATAAATAAAAGTAGGAGTATTATTAGATTCTCAATTTATAGACTAGAAAAAAAAATTGGTGTAAATGATGTTTAGAATGAAATTTTGAATTAGACAAAATTATATTTACGGTAACCTATTGTATGCAGCCCACACTACTCTCCAAACAAAGGGCCTTTATGTTATATAATTATTTTTACTTTCCAGACCCCTCCCAACCCGGTGTACCATATTGAAACACCGTTTTTTATATTTTAATTTTCTATGGTATCGAGAGTGTTAAAATCTGAATACTGGCAAGCGGTTTTTTTTTCAATAGAGAAAGGGTTAAAATACAAGGAAAGGGTTTGTTCCGCGATGCCTCACAATTCTTCCGTTGTTGTTTTTAAGTTAAGGTGTAGGGTAGTCGTATGTCACGGCTATACAGGCCGAGAGGTGAAACGTGTTAAGAACATTTGTGAAAGTTGTTAAGTGGGATATTCGATTTCAGATAGTTCTAGGTTGTGATGTTGCTGTTGGTCATTAGCGTTGTGGTGTTGCTGTAGGTAATCAGTGTTGTGGTTTTTTTTTTGTGTGGCAATAGTGTTTCTGAAGGTCATTTATGTTGAGACAATCTATTGAGATTTGAGAACTGCTTTCATCTAGCTGAACAGTGCATGCGTATGTAAAAAAAAAAAAAAGCTGTCGTCTGCCTTCCTCGACTTCTCTCTCCTGCCACCGTGCCCTACAATCTTGTATCTGACAGGCCTTTGGTTCCTGTGAGATGCCCATACTATTTCAGTGCCTTTGTTGCGACTAGGCTCTTAAGTTTTCAGAGGAAACAATCACATTAGTGTTCCTTTCACGGACCCTATCATTGTACACATCTAGACATACATAACAAAAATCACACACAATTGTCTTTAGAGATATACAACAACAACTCCTTTGTTTACATTTAGACCTACATAGTAACAATTCCATTATTTACATTTAGGTATGCATAACAACAATCCAATCGTTTACATTTAGACCAGTGGCGTGCAGAGGGGGGGGGCGGACGGGGCCCAGGCCCCGGGCATCCACCACTGGGGGGCATCCAGCGGAGGTAAAAAAAAAAATTTTAATTAATTAGTTTTTTTTTTTTTTTTTTAGTAATTTAAAAACTGTTGTGATATGTCGTGTCATGGTGTCATCGTAACTTTCCATATGTTTTGCGATCTCACTCAAAAAAATTGTAACACTCAATCGTCTGTCAGCCGTTTTAACATTACACTGTCCGTATGGCAAAACTTATATAGAAACAGCGGGCATCAGTGAAGGGTAGTCCTGCGGAAGTCAATGATATTCCATTAATAAATGTGTGTCATATTTATTTAGTATAGTGTAGGGGCATCGTTTAGAGTACTTGTGACCAAGTTATTCCCATGCACTGTATTAGGGCATCTTTAAAGTAATATGCGCGTATTCGTTATACTCATTTTCAAGGACATCCGTCGAGTAATTAAATCATATTTATTTTTATACACTATAGGGGCATCTTTAAAGTAATTATTCGTATATTCATTATAATATATTTTATGAGCATTTACTAATATGCCCACTTCACTTTATAATACATTTTAAAGGCATCCATACAGTAAGTATGCCCATCTTCATTTTATATATTGTAGGGGCATCTTGAAAGTAATTAAGCTTATATTCATGTATTACACTCGAAGGACATGCAACAGTAATTACACCAATCATCGTTGTTAACATTGGGGGCATCTCTAAAGCTATTTTTTAATGTACTTCTTCATTATTATCCATTTTAAGGGCATCCAAAGGGTAATTATGCCCATATTATTATTAAAAAATTTTGGGGCATCTTTGGTGAAATATATGGCCATTTGCAGTGTAATAACTTTTTTTTGTTAAATTGTATGGGCAGCATTCAGTGGCGTAGCTAGGATTTTCGGTCCCGTATGCAAAAATTAACAATGTTAATGTAAGTCGCCCGCCCTCCCCCACACTGAATGCCACTGCCTGTACACTAAGAAAGGACTTGGGGCCTTTTTTAAATTAAATTATTTCTACAGTAGAAAAAAAAAACTTGATTTCATTAATTTTTTAAAAATTATTTATATAAAATAAATATCAAAATTCCAATGTAAAAGTTTTAACTTTTTAAAAGAAGGAAAATGGCCCCTATTTGCATTGGGCCCCTATGCCTTGCTTACTCTAGCTTTAAGGTAGCTAAGCCACTGACAGCCATCAGTATATTTTTTTTTCATGCATTATATAAGCATACTTAAGAATAAGAATGCCCATATAATGTTTTTGATACACTGTAGCGACAATCTTAAGAATACGAATCAACATATTGTTTTCGATACATTGTAATGATATCATTCAGAATAATTGCGCCCATATTGATTTTTACAAATAGGAGGAGCATGCTTTAAGTAGTGTTAAAGTTAAAGTGTTTAACTCTGAGTAGAGCTTTCTTTAAAGTAATTGGGAGCACACGCAGAGCCAGTTTTATTTCAGTTAATAGTAGAGCTATCTATAGAGTTATTGAGCCCATAATGATGTAATGAAATGTGGGGATGCGGTGTGGGTTTTTAGGCTATGGAAGCCGTTAGTGGATTATCCCCCACCTGAACTAGACAGACGTACTTGGGTGTTAAATTTGTGAAAACGCGTCCAAGCCTAGGGAGGGTCTGACATAGCATAGTGGATTTTTAAACACAGTCCGATTTAGAAATGTTTTTTTAAGCTGGCAGCTTTAGTGGTCATCCATTTATGACGTCCACACGGGGGGGGGGGGGGGGGGGTCCGAAAAAAATTGACTTTTGTGGACGCGTGTGGACAGGGGGAGGGGGGGTTGGCCCAATGTGGACGTCCACACATTAAATCTAACATTATTTTTGGTAGTGTGAAAGAAAAATATTTCCTAGCGAAGCTAAAGTTCAACTATCCTATCTCTCTGGCCCTTTAACCACCCAGCTTGGGTCTATGCCCTGGCTTAACCTGGAATACAATAAGATATCCAATTACAAGTTTCCCACATTTGCATCCCAGGTCAAATACCAGGCGACCACTTCTCTAGGTAGGCTGGGTCATCCCAGTTCAGTTGTGAGACGGGAGAGGGGTGGAGGGGGGGGGGGGGGGGGTTAGCACGCTGTCCCGGTTCAGGTGTGGGACACGAAGGACAATAAAACACATTTGTACCAGTATTTGTAATACTATATACACTCAGAGTATATACACACTTAATGCAGTAGCTTGAGTAATAGTGGAAGAAGATTATGCAAAAACTTATAGTCAGTGTGGACGTCCACGGGATGGGGGGGGGGGGGGTCCGTCAAAAGTGGACGTTTGTGGACAGGGAAGAGGGGGGGGGGGTCCAAAATCCCAAAAATGTGTGGACGTCATAAATGGATGACCCCTTAGCCAACCAAGGTACACTTCTGTTATATTCAAGGTTAAGATAGTTTGAGAGTATCTAGCTAGCATCACCCATCTCTTTAAAGAGTTGACGTTTTGACCAAGTGGTTTAGAGAGAAAAATCTGAAACATCTCTAGTTCAATGCACACTCTCACCTGTATTAGTTACACTATAGGAATTCCTAAACAGGCCAAGAGAGAAACATCCCATTAATAAAGGCGTATCTGACGCCCTAATTGCAGACACGGACAGCGTTTTTGTCCCTGCGGTCCCGGGTGGTAATACAATACCGGATGAGACTCTTTTGTAGTGCATCACAGCCCACCCCCCCCCCCCTCCCCACCACGACCCGTCCCGCAATTGTCTCCCCCCCCCCCTTCTCCCAAGTTCCAACCATTCATTCCATTTGGATTTAGCTGGCTGTAGTCAACGTTTTCATCTCAATTAAGATAAGTACATTTTTTTAAATAAATGGTGTATATATATATATATATATATATATATATATATATATATATATATATATATATATATATATATATATATAAGTATTTATGGGGGCATCTTCCGCTTGATTTTGCCCCGGGTATCTACATAGGTCTGCACGCCACTGATTTAGACCTACATAGTAACAATTCCATTATTTACATTTAGGTATGCATAACAACAATCCAATCGTTTACATTTAGACCTACATAGAAACAATACCACAATTTACATTTAGACATACGTAATAACAATCCAATTGTTTACATTTAGACCTATAAACAATCCTTTTTTTTACATTCAGACACAGGCAATCCCATTGTTTATATTTAGACTTACATATTACCAATCCTGTTGTTCACATTTTAGACATACATACCAACAATCAATTTGTTTACATTTAGACAGAGGACCTACATACTAAAAAAATTAAGTGTAGACAGAGAACACAATCCCATTCAAGCATTCAACCTACACACATACAATCCTTTACGTAAAAAATAAATAATTAAGAGAGCACTTTAACTTAAAGTTACACATTGACAAACACTAAATATAAACAAGTTGGGCAATAATTCTCCCATCCCTAGTCCACCCCACCCCCATTCACCCCACCGGGTAGTATTTCGTCTATCCTGGTTTCAAGTCAAACCACTTCTGTCACAGCCTCTACTACCAGATCTACTAACAAACACATAATCCCCTAGCCGACGACGCATCAGCAGTTAATGGCGTCACTCGCGGTCGCGCGCTGCATACTCCGCGGCACTTATGCCCATATTTGGAAGGGTTCCCGCCCAGCCTTTCCAAACAGGTAGGCTAAGTAGGCCGCTGTGTCACAACTGCCCGTATTTAAAAGATTTTTTTCCCCACTTGCATTCATAACATTACGTTTACTGGATGTGTGTGTGGTGAAATTGTGGACTTTTACTTGAGGGAAATTTTGGACTTACATTTTTAACAGGTAAACAAAAATAATCGATTATATACGATATATTATATTATAGGCCTTTAGTTTTGATTGTAATAAATTTAAGAGAAGCCTAATCTGCATACTGAATTTAGACGTAAGCTAGGATTAGTTATCAATTTAATTTTTAAGGTTTGCCTAATCTACATACTGAAATTAGACGTAAGCTATGATTATTTGTTAATTTAATTTTTTAAGGGAATCCTGTTCTACTTGTTAAAATTAAAAACATGATTATTTGTTATTCTTTTTTAAATTGTTGTCGTTTAGTCTATAGTTGTTGAATGTAATACTATACACAGCATGTAAAAGCGAAAGTTTAACAGCTAGATTTAGGTTTATAAGTTTATGGTTTATGCTAAGGTTAGATTGTTGCTTAATTTAACAGGTTGAGCTGACCCAGCTTTGTAAGCCGCAGCACGGGATTATGTTTAAGATTAGATTATCTATTATCTTCTCATACGCCGTAAGGTGTGCTAGCAGTGTGCTGTAACATTCACTTGTCAATCAGTCACATAACTCTCTACACAATCTATCAACACGTTCCTTTACACAATCAATATAGCACCAACACTTTCCTTTACACAATCAATATAGCACCAACACTTTCCTTTACACAATCAATATAGCACCAACACTTTCCTTTACACAATCAATATAGCACCAACACTTTCCTTTACACAATCAATATAGCACCAACACTTTCCTTTACACAATCAATATAGCACCAACACTTTCCTTTACACAATCAATATAGCACCAACACTTTCCTTTACACAATCAATATAGCACCAACACTTTCCTTTACACAATCAATATAGCACCAACACTTTCCTTTACACAATCAATATAGCACCAACACTTTCCTTTACACAATCAATATAGCACCAACACTTTCCTTTACACAATCAATATAGCACCAACGCTTTCCTTTACACAATCAATATAGCACCAACACTTTCCTTTACACAATCAATATAGCACCAACGCTTTCCTTTACACAATCAATATAGCACCCAACACTTTCCTTTACACAATCAATATAGCACCAACGCTTTCCTTTACACAATCAATATAGCACCAACACTTTCCTTTACACAATCAATCCATCACCCAATACTCCTCTCTCCTCTCTACAATTATGTTGATTGGGAGTGGGGGGGGGGGGGGGGGGGTGGCAACACAGCATAATATTCGCTCTGGACTACATAAACTAGGAATAAAAACAAAACAAAAACAAATGGCATTGAATTAACAAAGTGGTGTGGGGGTGGGGGAGATGGGGAAACTGATTGGACAACTCCAATACATCAAAGGAAGTCTATAATTACCGTATCGATTAATGAGCTCCATATAGTTTGTACAATTTTAACTTGATATTGGTATAACAACAGTCAGCAGTGACGTACCTTGCTAACATAATAAGGTTTCTAATGACGAACATGGCAAACACCATTATGTCTCTACCTATACATATTTATCAACATCTATGTCTCTAAATGCGGACACTATCAACTTATTTATGTCACAAAAACAAAGTAAATCGTCGACATTATCCTGTCTCTAACTACGAACATCGTCAACATCATTCTGTCTCTAACTACGAACATCGTCAACATCAGCCGTTCTCTAACTAAGAACATCGTCAACATCAGCCTGTCTCTAACTACGAACATCGTCAACATCATCTTGTCTTTAACTACGAACATCGTCAACATCTTTACGATTTAAAAACATCCTTCACCATCACAGTGCAACAAACACATTTATATTTAGACGTCAAGTTGGTTTGAAAAAACCGGTTCCCAACAATCACACGTCTACTAAAGCTTTGTCGCCTGTCTCACTAGGGTAGTTGTTATATACAGGTTCTCAACAATAGCAACAATCATACATGTTGATTACATTTTTGTAGCCTTACACACTAGGGTAGTTGTAATATACAGACACGAAACAATGGCAACAATCATACATGTTTATTGGAAGCTTTGTAGCCTTATACACTAGTTGTAATATACAGGCCCCAACAATAGCAACAATCATACATTATGTTAATTACATTTGTGTAGCCTTATACACTAGGGTAGTTGTAATTTATCCTTTCAATTCAGAAAGGAATAGAACAAAGAAAACATAACTCAAACAAGAAAGATAACTCGAATGTAAAATACTAGCCAGCCTGTTGCATTGGCTAATGAAGCGTGGCGATGTACGATAGAGTATTGCGATGTGGCTAGCTTGTTCAAACCTATTGACCTACTGACAAGTAGAATTTGGTTTTGATGTAACATTGACTTCTATGAGAGTGACGTCACTAGGTTTAGTAACAGCTGGAGGTATGGTTGGTTGATGCCCCTTCGTCACCCCCAGTGTTTCTGGGGGGGGGGGGGGGGGGGCGGTAGCCTTTCTTCGGGGGGGGGGGGGGGCGGACACTGTTAAAAGTATATATTTTCTATATAAATTATAAAAATTTCATTTCGTTCGGGGGGGGGGGGGGCGGTAAAAAAATTTTCGGGGGGGGGGGGGAAGGCCCCCCCCCCCCGAAGAGATGTCTGGAAGAAACTCTGGTCACCCCCCACACCACATACAAACACTACATTTTTACATTTAAAAAATCTATTCTCGTCTAAAAAACTAAACAACACCGAAAACCATAACGGCTGTCGCTATGCAGGGAGTCACATGACCTACCCCCACCCTAACCCCATCAACGCTCAATAAACTGTCAATAGATCGATATCAAGGCTATGCGTGGAGATAACTGGAAATCGGGAGCTTGTTTCAATCAAATCAACATCAGACAAATTCATCCAACGTCTTTCCCAATTATTGAACTAGCGACTCTGGATAACACGTTCAGCCATAGGCCTACATGCTGATAAAAGGCTGTGGGGAAACAGTAGCAATAACACTTGCTTTAAGTTGAACAGTAAACTTAAAAGTGAAAGTTTTTTTATCTGCCATCTTTATAAAAAAACATGTGCATAATGATAATTTCGTAAATATATATATATATATATATATATATATATATATATATATATATATATATATATATATATATATATATATATATATATATATACCGAGACACGTATAGTAACATATGCCAAGGTCGTAAAATCCATTATACTTTTAACTTTCGAATTGTCAACGATTGATTTTTGCCTCAACCCCCCCCCCCCCTCCCCTTTTCCCAAACATCTGTTTCCTAGTGTGTATGGTTAAGTGGGAGAGAGTTGGGGGGGGGTATTTAGTATTCTATTGATGACACGATGTAAGAACTATCTATAGCTAACATCTGGCTGTGCCAGTAACCTGTAGCTGCAGCTATATTGATGATTAAGACTAGGCTACCTGCTTGTGGCTACCCTCGTGTAGCATCTACCTGTGGCTACCTTCATGCGAGATTCAGCAATCATTTATTTCTCGACAAAGAAATTCAAATTGTTTATAAAACAGTTCTTGTAACAGTTTTTGCTGGAATAATAAAGCTTGTCTTTTTTTCTGAACCTGGACTAAATAACTCATCCATTATCCATTGATCCTTTATTTAGAACAGTAAAAGTTTTCCTTCCAGACCTAAAGATCAATAAAGCAGGTGAAGTAGAGTTCATGTTTTTTTACTTCGCATATGAACAGGAGGTGTGGTCAGCACCAAGCCTAGCCGCTGTTTACTTTCCCTATAGTTCCCGGTACCCATCAGAGCTGGGTGGACTCAGGGATGACGTACCTCTGTCTCGTGTCCACGGAGATCCGAACTCGAGACTTTTGGACAAGCAGTCGAGCGTTCTACCACTCATCTTTTGTTCAGATTTTAGATAAATAATACGTCATGTCTTGGCCAACTGTCTAATTTAAAATTATATAATTAGAAATTATCTAATACATCTGATCTAGCATACTAGGATGTATACCTAACCCTAGTCTTAAAATAACTAACCTTAACTCTTTTTTTTTAAATTCTAGCATCGGATTACATTGTCTCCCCTCTCTGTACATAATCGTGTGACGTCATCAACATGGCACAAAACGAGCATGCGCAACAGAACGGAACACAAAACAAGTAAGTTTACAGTTGTCCATTTGTAGACGTCTGTTTTGTTGGACACTATGTCAGACACTACGTCAGTCACTGGAATTCTTTGAACAGTGGAGGAAATAGGTAATAGGGTCACGGGTAGCCTAGTTTTATAATTGAACGTCTCGTTTGTTTGATTGTTTTTTGTTTTTTTCTAAACAACAAATGCCTCACGCAAAAAAAAAAGGATACAATGTCGTTTGTGCCCTAACCTGAAATTTGTACTACTAAACCAAATCAATCACAAAATATCATTTCTCGCGATACCAGATCACCCAATAGGTATGTTCGACAAGAATAACAATAGAACCTATTTAGAATTAAATTTAGACTTTAAATATGTTGGCAAAAAAAACAGAAGAAAAAAAACCCAGCAAAACAAAAGTGAATAGGAATAGTTAACTCAGGTAGTAAACTGCAATGCATCATTCCTCCCTCGTCTAAATACACCCCCCCCCCCACACACACACACTCCCACCCACACCTTTAAACCTGCATGTCAGGTAGACCTATCTATCACGTTTACTTTGTTACCCTACACCCCCCCCAACCCCCTCTAGACAGATGACATTAGATTCACTGGGTGGCTTTTATTCTTTGTCACGTGACCGACACCTCATCAAACAAATGAAAACAAATATCCCCCACTGTGACGTCACTTCCTGACGGGTTCTCTATGTTGCTTTGATAGATGTATCGGTGGGTGTCAGTCAAGTAGCTATATGCTACCTTTGGTAGCTGTAAAGGGATTGTCAGTAAAAAACGTTTCTATCCTACATTGGTAGGTGTTAAGGGATTTTCAGTGAAGAGATGGTAAGCTCCATTGGTTAGCTTTATTGGTTGATGTAAAGGGATTGTCTGTGAAGGGATTGTAAACTCCATTGGTGGATGTAAAGGGATTGTCATTGAAGGGATTCTAAGCTCCGTTGTTTGATGTAAATGGATTGTCAGCAAAGAGATTTAATGCTCCTTTGATAAGAGATTATCATTGAAAGGATTCTATACCCAATGCTAAATGTTAAGGGATTGTCATCTACCAATGATCTATTGGTAGATGTAAAGGGACTGAGGCTGTAGTATTTTATGCCACATTGGTGGATGTAAAGGGATTGTGTGTAGAAATATATGATCCATTGGTGGATGTAAAGCGACTGAGGCTGTAGGATTATTTGATCCACCGATGGATGTAAAGGGTGTGACGGTGAAACCGTTTAGGCCTAGCTCCACGTTATTCTTACACCACCCCTTACCTGCTCTATACTCCCCCCCCCCCCTCTATACAACTACGTACATTCCTATCTTTCGTCCCCCTCGCAGGCCCCTCTCTAGTTGGCTAGTTTGTCCACGTGACACACCGCCAATGTAAAGGCATATAAGGGGATGCAACAAAGGGATTCTCGCACTCTCCCAGCACTGAGCTCAGCTGGTGGTGTCGCACGCGGCGTTGGGGCCGTCGGCCCGACCTCCACGTGTTTTTCTGGGTTTGGTTTTACTTAGTTATTTCTTACTTTTACTTAACTTTACTTTTTATATGCATAATTGATTAACAGTGTATCAAGGAGTTTTAATAAATACCATATATAGATATTATCTTGCTGTCATGTATTTTTTTCATAAACACTATACATTGTTACTTTACATTGTGCTAGTCGATGACTTACCTGAATTACTTAACTTTACACTGCCCGTGCCTTAGCCCACAGGGCATTTAAATACTTATCTGACCTAAACTATTCCTGCCTGTGATGTAATTCCACGTGGCAGTTGAGTAGATATTTGTTACCTGCTGTACTACTTTTATCCTGCACGTGTATCAGCCACGGAGCAGTAGATATATATCATACACAGCCTCATTCTATTTTACTACAGGCCGTAAACTGCGGGCATTGAGTTGACCCGTAGTCATCGGACCTGCTATTTTATTTTATTAACCGGCCGTAAACCCTTGCCAGAGACAAGAGGTCATCGGACCTGGTAAGAACCAATTATCATTTTAATAAGGCTGTGAACTCTGGGCATTGAATTGACCCTTAGTCATCAGACCTTAATAATATTACCTCTAGTTATACAATACTAGAATCTATATTCCCGGTAAAGAAGCGGCACAGACCCTCTTACCGGTTGAATACCAGCATTTCACTGATTTTACTATTATATCTATTATACGGTACCAAATATTTATCTTTTACCGTTAACATGGGGGCTCGTCAAACTAAATACTAGACACGAGTTAGCCACTCGTATTTGAATAAATCCTGCTGTTTCACATATTTGAATTTTACTGCTGTTGTTTACTTTGAATTTTCAGAAAAAATATTTCTGTGTGTTATTGCTACCTGCTCAAGAAGTATTCTGTACAACTGACGGCTGCACAAGAAAGGCAAGACCACTGGAATTGTAGCTAAGTGTCAAGTTTTAGCTTTTGACTCTGACTTACTACGTTGATTCCTTTAGTGGTACTTTTAAAACTGGTCTCCTATTCTTGTAGTTAGCTTAGTAGTCTATTATTTGCAGAATAGGCCTACTTCTGTTAGTCTGTCAAATACTTTTCTTGTAGTTAGTTTATTGTTAGGCGTGACCCGGTACACGGCTTGAGCACACGCGTGTCACGTTACCAGTGTCAACGGCCTAGCCAGGCTGCATAATGAGTGGCTCCACTAGCATCCCCGCCCTCATCAGGTACGCCATTGACTATGGCTACGAAGGGGCGGCACTCAGTGCATTTGTTAGACAAAGATACCAAGAGAATTTAGAGGACTTACAAGAAGAAGAGGAACGAAGAAGATTAGACGAAGAAGAAAGATTAAATGAGCTGCAGTGGGAAGAAGAAATTAAATTAAAAGAGAGAAAATGGGCTATAGAAGCCAGGTTCTATGAATTTGAAAGATCGGAGTGGGATAGTATCAAACCAATAGCAAAACAAGAAGACGAAATGTTAGCAGATACCAGCATATCAATAGCTGAGAAAATTATTATTTGTAACGAACGTATAAGAAGAATGACCGAAATGAAAGCACGCTTGCAGATAGCCGAGCAGGCGATGCTTGAGCAGCTGAAAAACATGACCATATTAGGACCTGAACCAACACCCGCTACACCAGACACACCAACCCTGCCACAGGGAGAAGATAACACTCATGATGCTACACTGAGCCATAGCAGCAACTTCGTTAAAATTACTTCCCCTGCCCCGACTGAATCATCAATAAACACAGCACCGGATGCTTCAGTCGACCTTAATTATGCAAACAACCCAACCACTGAGATTGTCAGCCTTATCGGCCCCATTGTTATACCTACCACACATACCAAACCTTACCAGCCCCTGCCCAGAGGGAAAAAATTCGCCGACGAGAGGAGGATCGCTCTCGGTCCTGAATTACCTGTCGCAGCTATACAAGGGGCAGATAATCAACAAAGCAAGTTACAATTATCACCCTTAGCAACAAAATCTGGTTCTCGCCCCTTGCGGACCGAATCAGACTTATCGTCCCCAACTAACAGCACAGTCAATTACTGCGTACCTGGCCAAAACAAGAACTCTAACGCTCAAATTGGCCAACGCAGACAACCTCGTTGGAAGCCCCGCCCTCCTACATACAACTTGATGAAACAACGGTCCAAGGACACCAGCCTAAGTTATCGGGAGACGTGCCGTTTGCTCTATAGCTGTTGTGTCCATGTCTACCCATCTCTAATTACTGGCGCTTCACGTTTTGCCACCCACCCCATTCTGAGTTTTGACAAGTCACTAAGCATAACTTAGCTAGTTAGACTTAGGGTGGAATTTCTTAGTAAGTCATGGTCGATTGCCTGAACTTAGCTCAAATCCAGCCTTGCACTTAATTGATGCAAGCTGCACAGTTAAAAAATAATGAAGCTATTTTATGACTTACTTTGATATATGTTGTATACACAAGCATTGCTTTTTAAAAAAAATTCTATGGGCATTTATCATTGTCATATCTTATGTAATCATAACTTCATATCTATGCATAAATTTGTTGGTTTCCCTTGTTCTTGCAGTATTTTTCACAGGTTTCCACTGACTTCTTAGACCTGGTTGTCATACTTCTAAAACAGAACTTGGCGTTAGTTAATTTCCTGAATACAATGTAAACTTATACTGAACAAAAAAATGTCATTATTCACCGTTGTCTTATTACAATTTACATAAAAACAATTTTTGTTTTCTATAGCCTCTAATGGCATATCACAATGTTGTAATTGATGTTGGACTAATGTATACTCATTTTGCCTGTCAATGGCCTATGTTTCAATGTTATTAATTTTCGTCTAAAGACATTGTTATTTACATTTTTTGCTTAACTATACTTTGAAAGACACATGAAAAGATATTGTTTTATTTCTGGTCCGCTGAAAATTGCGTTACCACGAAATTTTAGCGAGGAAAGGGGGTGTGACGGTGAAACCGTTTAGGCCTAGCTCCACGTTATTCTTACACCACCCCTTACCTGCTCTATACTCCCCCCCCCCCCTCTATACAACTACGTACATTCCTATCTTTCGTCCCCCTCGCAGGCCCCTCTCTAGTTGGCTAGTTTGTCCACGTGACACACCGCCAATGTAAAGGCATATAAGGGGATGCAACAAAGGGATTCTCGCACTCTCCCAGCACTGAGCTCAGCTGGTGGTGTCGCACGCGGCGTTGGGGCCGTCGGCCCGACCTCCACGTGTTTTTCTGGGTTTGGTTTTACTTAGTTATTTCTTACTTTTACTTAACTTTACTTTTTATATGCATAATTGATTAACAGTGTATCAAGGAGTTTTAATAAATACCATATATAGATATTATCTTGCTGTCATGTATTTTTTTCATAAACACTATACATTGTTACTTTACATTGTGCTAGTCGATGACTTACCTGAATTACTTAACTTTACACTGCCCGTGCCTTAGCCCACAGGGCATTTAAATACTTATCTGACCTAAACTATTCCTGCCTGTGATGTAATTCCACGTG